TCTTTTAAATAGTCAGCCATAAAACGACGAGCAGCTAGCAACCTATTTACAAAAATGAGAAGAGCAAGTTAAAATTTCTACAATTGCAGCGTTTCTACACAACACTGGGAAGGTGAAAACATTTCTAAATCGAAATATTTAAGAAAGTTTATACAGCTGGGTAACTTAAGCCCCAACTACATAAACTCTCTTAACTATAGCGATTCTAAAATGTCGCCGCCTTCTCAATGTTGTGCAGAAACGTTGCAGCTGTAGACATTTTAACTGGCTCGTCTCATTCCTGTAACTAGATTTCTAGCTGCCCGTCATTCACAGCTTAACTATTTAACGTGATATCATCATGCAATGTCTTTCAAGAAGATAGCAAAGGCAAGCCATGAACCCGATTACTCCTACGAAATATTAAAAAACCGTCAAAACGTCAATCTAGTCCTAGAGTTCGAAAAATTTTAGAGCAGCCGTTACTTTTAGCTGAGATAGAAAAGCAAAACCCGACAAATTATAGGCCGATTAAAAAAATGTTCATGGCTTGCTTCGTTATCTTCTAGAAATTACTTCCAGCGAGGTGTTAAAGGTTAATGTCTGGTTATCAAGCTTCAAGATGTATCGATATCCTATGGCTTCTGTTAAATATTTGTTTTATCAAAGCTTTATCATTTGCCAACGAAAGCAATAACATTTTAGAAGAATCAGACAATTGAAACTACAGCTTTGATAAGCAGTAGAGCTAATGGCAAATGTTTGATAAATTTTTGTCCGTAGCAAACGATAGCGATAAAAATTTTAGAAGAATCAGACAATTGGAGCTACGTTCGTGATAACAAATATAATTAGTGAACACGAAAGATAGCGATAAAATTTTAGAAGAATCCGACGATTGAAGCTACCTTCGTGATAAATGCAATTTGTTAATACAAAATTTAGCGATAAAATTTTAGAAGAATTAGACAATTGAAGCTAAGTGTTGAAAATTGAAAGATTTAATAGCGAGTACCTTTAGAAGAAAAAACAAATTGGAGCTACAAATTTATCTATTCGTGAATATTTTCGGTAAAAATGTCTATCAGTCCAAATAGTAGCTTTAACATTTTAGAATATTTAGCATTGCATTGAAGCTACCTTTCTAAATTTCGATATATCTGACAGTACAAGTGAAAGCCAAAACAATTTGACCTACATTTCAGAAAAGCGATAATGAAAAAGTTGCTTGATACCAGACATAATTCAATACAACCTCGCTGAAAGTTTAACTAGAGGATATATCTGGTTTCTGATTGACCTTTTTGCGCTTATTCCCCTTCCGAAGAAACAAAATATAAACCGAACGTTTTCCGTACACAAATGTACCAAAAATTTCTGCCGATAAATCTAGTATTTTCAGGAAACGAAGATCAATCCAGAAACCCAATATCCTCTTCTAGAATTATTGATTTTAAAGGTGGCTCTGCATGTCTTGCACAATAACCGTCAAAAAAAACTTGCGTGCTTTTTACCATAGCGTATGAAACGAAAAGAAAAAAAGAAACACGAACGAGACAACGAAGAAAGCATTAGATAATACGCTGAGATCATGTCAACAAATGTTTCAAATATTCAAAAAGTAACTTGAATAAAGTTGCAAACAAATTCAGATTTATACACGAATCGTTAACGAGATCTGGATTAATTTGAAATGTTTCAAAATTTCAAATGACGAAAAGAAACGACAGAAATTGTTTGATAGTTATACTGAACACTTTTTATTTGCTTCAATGCAAGCTGCAGCATCTTCAGATCATTTGGGTCGTTAATTGATTTTGAGCAAGGAAATTGCTCATTTAACATACACAATTCACATCTGATGAATTAATTTCCGTCAACTTTCTGGGAAAATAAGGGAAGAAATTATAAACGTTTACGTCTATTCGACTGTACTAATCGAAGAATCGATCAAGACACTTGTTATTTCGTATCTAAAAATGCTAAGATTTGAAATAGAAATAATTCTCCGACAACATAAAGTTTGATAGCTCAACTGGAACAATTTTCCACGACCAGTCATTTAATGTTGTTTTTGAGCAAGGACATTGCCCTCCAACAGACAATTCACGTTACAAATTGAAACTGTAGGACTTCGTAAAACTTAGTGCTTAATGTGATTTTGGAGAACACGAAAAATTAACATGTTCAGCGTTGATTTTGGAGAAGACAGATTTTGTGATTTTTGAGATTTTGTGATTTTGGAGAACACGAATCAAAATGTGCGGCGTTGAATTGTTTGTGCAAGTTATATCAAAACAGAATTTGCTATGATTGACATGATGACGTAAACAAAAGTTACTATCACGGTTTGATTTCAACATGCAGTGCCACCTTAAAATATTCTACAAGGGTCATCGCCTAGTAACAGGTTTTCAAATTTAGGAGAGTTGAGCGATTGTATTAACAATTTAGAATTTCCAATACAAATAAAAATAATACGCGACTTTGACAAAATACACCAAGTAAAGTATGCAAATGCCGAACCGATAAAATGTAACTTAATCAAGTTGATGATCGCTCGAGCAAAGAAATAAAACTCCCCATGATTTGAAAACATGTACTAAGTGATAGCTCAAAAGCGGTTGAAACCTCTCCGTCAAAAATTGCAGTAATTTAATTTAACTATCACTACCGAATTTAATTTTTTCACGCCCGAATGCCACTGCCATGCAAATATTTCAGCCGAGAAAAAAATAAAACTTTTAACAAACAAAACGATTTTGAACCCGATTATATCTTCTCTAGTTTCAAGACTGCCATTTTTTATCGGAGTGATTTCAATTTAACCAAATTCTCAAATTCTATTCTTAACTTTGTCCTCATCCTCCCTGTTTGAATCCTTTTGTCTCTTTCCAGTCTTCAGTCATTTGCTCCCTGAAAATAAAATGGACAGAAATTGAACAAACCCAAGTGTGGAAACAAAATAGTAAACGAGGAGTGAATTGTTTGTACTCGAACGTGCGTTGACAAATACAAGGCAAAGTTTCACAAAGAAACGTAAGTTTCATAAAGAAAGCTAAACTCTCGTCGAAAAACCGCTAAGAACCTAGCGTCTCGTACGGTTCCTGAACTTACTTCTAACGTACGTTTCACCCTCTTACTAAAGCCATATGGTTGTTCTGAAGTTGAACACGAAATGTAAATCGAGTTCGGCAAGCGCACGTGGTAGAATGACTTGGAGGCGATATTTTTGGTTGAAATATTACCTTAGAAGGTAGAATGCAAAGAAATTGATACTAACCATTGGAAGAAATGGGTGTCAGCCGACTTCTCTTCCCCAAACTTCGACGCCATTTCTTCTTCTTATAAGATTCGCTTCTCGTGTAGAAGGGAACAGTACACATCTTACTCCGACGGCAAACATCTCAAAATGACAAACAAGCACCTTATTAGACAGCAATGGTCATCATGAATATGGAAAATAACATTAGACCAATCAGCTAACAGACACGTCACGAATTTTTAATGACAACATCCTTTGCACGCTTTCTTCTGCTACAACTTTGCATTTCCTTTGTTTACATGGAGCCCACGTGAACCTGCATGGACTGAACAAACAAAACGGTCATTAAGCTGTTTTTACAGTTCTTGGATGCCTATCTCTCCGGCTTATTTTGAAAACGAATGTGATAGCGTTCGTTTTAACATTCAAAGAAACAAAAACTGATTAATGGCTAGAATGTTTTTCTCTCCCACGATCCATTCATCCTCATGCCACGCTAAAACCGCCGTAAGGCTCAGTACAAGTTAAGTTCAGGAAAAGTGGCCAAAAAGTCATTAACAAGACAGAGTCTCAACGAAATTCTTGTTTTAAATTTAGCTAGAGCTAGATGTGTTTCGTCTTTGGCGGCAAATGCGAGATGTGACCACGTGACATTGTCAGTCCTTGCGTAACTAGTGCCAGTCCAAGGTGTACAGTGTCGCGCGCTTACGGTGAAATTGCGCACAATTTTGATGAAAAAGAAAACTTCTGCTTTCCCCATCACCGTACCTTTACACGAAAGGAACTCACCGGCAACCCAAGAGGAAAGCGAGGGGCTGCAAATAGCGGAACGCACGGAGAACATGCGATGACGGTTTATTTTAGCCGGAATAAAGACGTTAAAAAACTCAGGTTTTTTATCAGCCTTAGATCTTTGGAAAATTTGTTTATCAAGTCCATTATTGCCTCTCATCCTTACAAAAATTCGTGTATTTTTTTTTTTTGCTCTTGTTTGCACAAGGTGATCCACTCTTCTTTCAAGTCTTCGCATATTGATTATCAGTTTAAAAAGAAAACCGGGGCTTGACAAAACCAAGGGAATGCTAGATGGGAAGTCTACAGTAACCCGGGTTTGATCCCAAATCTTTCAAAGCGTTTTTACTACGAAATAAGTTCAAGTCAAAAAGGAAATAAAACAATATCAGTGTTACACAAAACAATATGAGTTTGACACGAGTATGGAATAAAGAAAATAAAATTAGTTCTCCGACGGACGTTGAACCCAGGCCCTCCTGAACTTCGCTCGGGTGATTTTACTGCAAGAAATAACAAAAATCACCTGGATACGGAAGATTCATAATGAACTAGGCCATTGACTAGGTTGAGATCTGCACCTAGAGGAAATCACACTGAATTCGCGGGAAATGTCATAGGGAACTACTCGATAATCCATGGGGGGACACATCGGGGAAAGTACACCGAAACGGACAGAAGCACAAGTGAACAGATGTAACGCACGACAAAGTATACTGCACCAGAGTGCGCAAGTTGCAACGGAAGAGCAAACACTTTAAGGGAAGGAAGGGGGGGTGGGGGGGGGGGCAGACGGCATCGGCAGGAAAACCACAGATGAACCAATGGGGGAATCGCACAGAGTTGCGTATAGAAGAACACACCTGGAAATACACAGTGAACGCAACGTGTAGAAAATGCACTTCATGGTCAAACGGTCCCAAATGCACAATTTTCAGGAGACATTTAAAGACAACGAAAGAACAGCGTCAAAGTAATTATTTAATAGAGTATATAAAACACTTGTTTAGTGAAAAGTGGAATTATTTACAGCGACTTTTAATCCCTTTTGTCAATGACTTCGCTGACAATTTTTGATCCATAAATAACGACCAAACATCCGTCAACAAAAACAAAATAATAAACCGCGCTCATTTATGCAAAACCAAAGTAGCTTTACACGAGAGATTGACTGAGAAAACCTAAATGAAATACTTCCCAAAACACACCGATAAAACATTATTTGTCGATTAAATCTTGACTTTTCGTCCTCGAAAGCAATAGCAAATCTTTCCTCTTCGAAGAGAAGAAGAGAGTTAGGTACATCGTCGTTATTTCAAACTTGTGAAAGGCCATTTTCAAACAAAATGCGGCCACGACACCAGGTCTAATACGAAGCAATAACGACTGAACAGTTTATAAGTAAGAAAGTCACAGTGTCACAATAATGGAATCCAGTCATTTAATAGTTTGATTCCACAGTGATAGCTTGACGGAAAAGCACCATAGCATTATGGGAAACATTCCTGCACTCAGACGTTCCGTTTTCGCTCTTGAATTTGAAAGTGGTGTTGAGACTGCTGATTGGCTAGTTGATAATAGTGACGAATCTTAGTAAGGTCTGTAACGGTAATTGGGAGGCGGATATGAACGACGACGATCATCCTAAAACGAGAAACAAGCAAACAAACGAATAAATAAATAAATAAACAAACAAACAAACAAACAAACTTTAAAATATTTAGAGAGGAAGCCACATCAGCCTTGGCTGGTTTTCATCCGGGTCCTCTATCCTGATCGAATTGGAATTTGGAGATGCTGGTTTTTGTGGAGGGATGAAAACCGGAGAACCCGGAGAAAAACCCTCGAAGCAAGGCGAGAACCAACAACAAACTCAACCCACCTATGGCACTGGGTCGAAATCGAACCCGGGCTACATTAGTGGGGGACGAGCGTTCTCACCACTGCGCCATCCCCGCTCCCCAAAATAACATGCGATTGGCTTGATGGGAGAGTAATGTATCCACTAACAAAGGAGAACATCTTGTTTTCAGGCAAAATGGTTCCATTTAGCCGGCACTGAAATTTAGTTTTGAAATTATAACGCGACTAGTTGCCCTCAAAGCTAAAAGCGACTAGGAGTATTGCCTTCCCCCGGATGGATGTCATTCCATCACAGGCAAACCGCCGCTCCCTCCCCGCTTCCCCCCTCACCACACCCTAACGTGCCTGTACCACTCCAGGGAGGGGAGAGGCACTATTGACACGGCGAAGTGTCTTTTCCAAGAAAAAAAGACATAAGAGCACTGATCAGCTTTCAACTCTGGCCTCCAGATCTGTTGTCCAACAAAATGCGAAGCCACTGTGTGTTCAACTTATATTAAAGAACTTCAAAGTATTATAATATACTACCTATACTATTTTACGATACACAGAATTGCCAGCAAATTAAAGGAAATATAGAACTAGTTGTTCACCAAGGCAGAAAAAAAAGTCTATGAGGGAGAAAAGACCTACCCGACCATGCTGCCAATTGTTCTGCTGTTGTCGTGGGTCACGTGACGAGTTCGAATTATTTTGAGAGAACCGGGACTGACTGGAGCCCGGTCCCCGGTAGGAGGGCATTGTATGCGACCACGGGGTGGGTTGGTTGCCTTGGTAACCACCAGAATTGTAGCGTTGACCGTAGTTCCTATCGTAGCTATTCCGTCTGGGATCATTATAATCACGTGACGATAGAGGAGTGTTCGGATTGGATCTTTGTTGAGGAGGGTAACCTTGCCTGGCGTAATTCTGTGGGGGACCTGAGTGCGACCGTAACGGAGGAACATAGCTTCCTGGCGTAGAAGGATGAAAAACGTCACCTCTGTGAAAACTGAAAGAGAATAACCATACATGAAACAGTTTGCCTAACAGGTTTTAATGAAGGAAACTTGGGATTGATCAGACACAATCAGCTTGGCAGTCGGCTTTATTCGTTCGTTCGTTCGTTCGCTCGCTCGCTCGTTCGTTCGTTCGTTCGGTTGGTCGGTCGGTCGGCCGGCCGTTCGTTTGCTCGTTCCTTCGTTCGGTCGTTCGTTCGGTCGCGCGTTCGTTCGTTCGCTCTTTGTTAGGTTGTTTGTGCAATACCTCGTAGTACGTTTGTTCATTCATTCTAAGGGACGTTTGTTAGGAAAGAAAAAAACGTGCAAACGAGAATTAAAAAAAGGAACTAAGTATGGCCTTTTTTGGTGCTCGCCATTTTCTCTGAACTTTCGTTTCTCCATATTCTAAGAGTCAACTAAGAACAGCTTTTTAAAATCTTTCGAATTTTGTCGTGAACGGGACGTGAGCTGCCTATTAAGTTGCAAGATGACCTACTTGAGCATTCGTCTTCCAGCAGCGTCCAGCTGAGCGAATGAAGTCCTGTTGGCATTCATGCCAATCACAGGTCTATAGGGGGTGTTCCTGTCATAACCCTCCGGCTTCAGAACACGGTCAGGAGGCCTGGGAATGAACAACAACAAACAAGAGGGTTACTCTACTTGAATTTCTGGGTTATGGAGCAGCTCTCGCAAGGTCTCACATGCATGGTTCGAATACCCTTTGAGAGGACAACAGAACAAACAACAGAAACAATGCCCTAGCCCTAAAACAATAACAGCTGATACACTATGCCAAATAGAACTGCAACAGTTCCGGAATTTCTGTCCCATTTGGGATGGTCAGGGGGATGGAGAGTAACGACATGTGATTTTAGTGGGCTCGAACCAATCGTAAGACTAATCCTTAAAAACTCTACTGGCCCGGTCACATGGTGCAAACAGCTGTTCCAAACGTGATCATTCATTCATTCAGACAGACAGACAGACAGACAGACAGACAGACAGATAGACAGACAGAGAGACAGACAGAGAGACAGACAGATAGACCGATAGACAGATAGACAGACAGATAGACAACCTTTATTTAAGCACGGTTAAAATTAAAACTCAGTAGTTTACGGGGTCACGCAAAAACATAATAAAATCAAATCAAATTAAATTAAACTTCACACATAGTATACACGTGATAAACTTGGGTCTGGTCTTTAAACGTACAGCATTTATTCACAGCTGTAAGAGGTATTTTCTTGAAATATAAATTTGCAACCTTAAAGTCACACTCCTTGGTTAAAATGTTTATCATAATTCACCCGTTGCCCACATATAAACACCTGCTTGATCTTGCTTGACTAAACAGGTTCTTATATTTTTGGGTATTACCCTGGCAAATTTCTGCCGGCAGGTTCTTAAACCCACTGGGTTCTTACATGCGTGTTCATACTGTATTAACGAGCCATTGAGGTTCAGTAGAAAGTTTGTAGAGTATGTTTGTATCATAATCGTTTTGATTATAGTGCCACTTACTGTCCCTTGGGTAAAACGTCCGCTTTATAAATGAAATAGTCCTCGTAAACAGGGTCTGTAAACAGCACGCTGAAATATCAAAACACATTGACATATGCAATCAAACACAAAATTTCAGTTTCATTCTCACAATTACACTGACAACAAAAAAATGAAGCTTTTTTATGTTCACAATAATGTTATCCTAAGTTCATAGGGAAAAGGCAAGTTTTTCGGGGGTACAGAAAAGAGCTAGGGGATACAGGAACTCAGAGAGGGAACTTACTCAAAGGAAATGCCTGAAGTGAACACTCCCTTGGTTCCAGCATCCCCTATCTCCTACAGCCCCCTCCCAAACCCCCC